CATTGGAACTATGTTAACTTTGAGACCTTGGAAACACATTGCAATTGAGTTTTAACCGTATCAAGAGCATCTTGGAATATTAAACTTTCATCTTGGATTAAAACATTGAAACTTTATCGAACTTTGTAACCCTGGGTTCGACCCTGGATAAAGCAAGCGGATGTTTTGTTTTGTTTCGTCCCATTAACCTATAACTACAATGTTTATTTCTATTTGAAAAAGTTGCCTGTGGCAACTTACTACCAAGATATTATGTATCTTTATACATATAGTTCCTGTTCAGGTTAATCAGAGAGCATTATGCGCATGTTCTCCATTACTTGTTCCGTTAACATTCCAATTTAAGTTACACGGGTAAACCTTGTTTTGATGCAAAATAACTTCTTTTTCTTATCCAAATCGTGCTACGAAAATAACCACATAGCGATGGGTCAAAACAAGATCAACGCCATCCTTGCGACCACTGACAACTATAAATTTACCTTGCGTAGCAGATGTCAATTGGGAGGAAGCAAAAAGGGGATGTGGATTGAGGAGAAATAGTAGCCTGCCACGCAGGCTACTATAAATTCAGTCATAAGCACATTAAACCAACCCATACAGGTAACCTACTCATCGATGCTCATAACATGACACATCTTTCCGATTTCCCTAATTTTTCCAAATTCAGATAGAACGCCATTATGCTTCCATAGACCAACGCATCCCACGGAAACTAGCCTGCGTAGCAAGCGTTTCCAATCGAGTTATTGCGCGAAAGGCAGAGCGGAAGCAAAAAAAGGTTGAAGGGAGAGGGGGAGGGGAGAAGAGGAAGGTTCCTTCTTTCCCCTCCCCCTCCCCCGTCATTCACTTTTTTTTTTGCTCTTGCCCCAGCTTTCTAGACGAACCTCGTGAGGAAACGCTTGCTATGCAGGCTACACGGAAACGACTTTAGGCGTCTTGTTTGTTCTTTTGGTTGGCGTCTTTTCTTACGTCATTGTTTACGTCACTTAACCATCTTTGTAATTCGATGTCTTTCAGTCTTTGTTTGATAATGTCCAAGATTCCTATGTCATTTTCATGTGCCTTTGTCTAGAGGTATCCCAGCCCTATTTGGTCTAATACGCGTCTGATTTTTGGCTCCATAATTCCTTATTCATCCTCGATTTCATATCATTATAAACCACCAGTGATAATTTGTGTTTTGGGTGTTTGGTTAGAGTTAGCCAAACTTAAAATTCCTATATTGTGCTGCGATTTTTATTGGGAATTTTCCTGTTTCAGCCCTACATGCATTGTTGCTGCAGTATTTATTTACAACTAGCAACCATTTCAAGAATTTAATTTGAACTAATTCTGCGGGATCTTTTTATATTTGGTCGTTACAGTCAACACCCCAAATTTCACTTCCATAGAGAAGTATGGGGGATATCAGAGCATCGAATAGCTTAATTGTCAGCATAATATTTTCTCTAAAGTTGCCACCCATCTCTTTTCTTAGTTTATAAAGTGCCTTAAGCCCAACTTTTTTTAACTCTTCTCTAGCTAAACTAAAATTTCCATACGGGTTCAGTGTCATTCCCAGATATTTATAAGATTTAATATCGTTTAGTTTATTTACTCCATACTTAAACGAGTAGTTATTTAAGGACTTGCACAATTATTAAAGATCATGACTTTTGTTTTGTCTAGATTTAAAGATAGTTCAATTTTCTCACAGTAGGATTCCAACTTGTTGAGGAGAGTTTGTAGGCCATTTGCTGACCGCGAAAAGATCACTAAGTCATCCACATATAATAAACAGTTTATAGGTCTTTCAGAGTCATCAAGCAGAATATCGGTTGAGCTTGGTGAATTTAAAAATTCGGGTAGATCACTTAGATAGAGACTAAAAAGGGTGCGTGATAACATACAACCTTGCTTCACTCCAGTGTAACACGGAAAAGCTTCGGTCATTTTGTTGTTGATTTTGACTGCTGATTTTCTTTTGCGTACATGGACATTACTATTTCTAAAAAAAGCCCCTTTCTGAGTTTTTCGAATAATTTTTGCCTGGGTATGCGATCAAAAGCTTTTCTAAAATCTACAAAACACGAGAAAAGCAAGTTTCTGCGTTTTTGTGGTTTAGGTTTAACAAACTTATCTATGAGTGTTTTTAAGATGAAGATGCTATCTACTGTACCGTGCCTTTTTTTAAAGCCGCCTTGTTCTGCTTTTAGAATTCCTTTTTTGGTCATGTAATCATACAATCGATTATGGAGGATGGATGTGAAGAGTTACCTAATGCAGAGAGCAACGTGATGCCTCGGTAGTTTTCAGCTTTTGATCGATCATCCTTTTTATGTATAGGGACAATGAGGCCAAAACTCAAGAGCGTAGGATATTTCCCTGAACTTAAAATACGATTGAATAACTCTAGTAGATGACCTTTTATGATATCTTTCCCGTTTTTTAGCACCTCATTTAATATTTTATCACACCCTGGGGCTTTGTTTAATTTCAGTTGTTTGATTACGAAATCAATTTCTTCTTCCGATATTGCATAGTCTAGGGGGCCTGCCTCTTCCTCAATAACCCCAGTATCTTCTAGATCTCTAGAACTCTTACTGGCAAACCCTCGTTTTTTTCCGTCTGCATGTCCGTTTAAATTTCTTCTTTTTGTCTTGTAAAATGTGCCTCAGCTGGGAATTATTTGGCTCCTGAGAAATTTGTTCCCCAAGGGATTTCAGGTTTTCTTTTTCAGTTTCGCATTCCAGATCGAACCAGTTATTTTGTGACATGGCTTTAGTTCTGTTACGTTATAAATCGTCAAGGATGAAAGTCACTCATCCGTTACCGTATTGCGTAGTAAAGCTTTTATTCTTTTTATCGAGCTGAAACTGTGCTCAGCAGCGCACGTCGAAATAGGGCAAGTAATGGGATTGTCTTAACTGCCACATAAGTTCCTGGATAGAAAGGGGCATTGGTTTGATCAAGTGTTTCCACAAGAGTCTTTGGAGGGGGATAATCAGGTGGCCTGATTGACCAGTGGTGTCTCCATCTTGTAATGTCTTGCTTGGGGGCAGTTAGATCCATTCCCATGACTTTTGAATCTTTTCCCCTATTTCGATCATGAGCACGGGAAAGGAAAAAACAATTATTGTCAGCCATTGATTTATTTTCATTCCAAATTTTTCATTTTCATGCTAAATATGCTGCTGTTCTAAATGTTTGTCATTGAAAACAATACTACATCTTTTCCCTAGGGGTAAATTTCCTGTAAATTCTTGTTGATACCGCGCCACACGTGTATTCAGCTTACCTGGGTTATCGTCGCCATTGGTTGGGTCCATGATTTCCTAATTGAGGGACATTAAAGTAGTCTTTGAAAGACTTTTTCGACATTTATGGAGAGAGAGAGAGAAAAAAAATGAATAGCTTTTGAATAAGAAAGCTTTCCAGCTAAAAGAAAGGAACGATAATCAGTCAGGGTCTATTCTTTGTGGCGACAAATGTGTTTCCATGAATTTCCCAAGCCTCCCTCCGTTTTTCATGTATACGCAATCTATTGGCGGTGGGATTGCCTGAAAGCCTGAAGGCAAACATTTCAAGAATGTTTCGAATTTCTCACCTGCCACTACGCAAACTGTTGAAATTTTCGTGATGCACAATACAAGGTCACGTCACAACACCACAAATTGCTTTTCCTAATAACAGAGAATCTTAAGTACGCACGTGTGTATTTGCGTAAAGGACACTACGCCCCTGCTAACGGTAAGTCAAATCTCTAATTGTTACTTTTATTATTGTCTTTTTATGGGGGGTCTGTAAAGGGGGTCCGTAGGGGGGGGGGGGGGCCCGTGGCCTTTATTGGCTTTCCCCCGCAATAAAAGTTTGCCACTAAAAAAAAGGAATCATCTTAACATTATCATTCATAATAACCTTCATAACCTTATTATCAACATCATTCTACCGATTTCCAAGATGGATATTCCTATATTGGTGT